TCATTTATGGAATGGGAACCAAGGAAGCACTTGTAGGCTTGTTGTCATTCATTTCTGTGCTATGTGGTCAGACTTGTTCAGCCTTCTCATGTCCTGTCTACTGATCCAAGGCCTGACACGAATGTTGGCCTTGGTTGAGTGACTGTCCAGCTTCGTGGACCAGTACCCAGAATAAACAAAACACGGCTTTCCATAATGGTGTCTTCCTGGTCCTTTCAGTAGTCAACCATTTGTGATGGACAGGTAGGGCAAAGCTGGGGAAATCAATGAGTTATCTGTGAGTTGGCTTCCTCCATTGAACCTGGGCCTTCTTTTTCGGCCTCATTAGATCTACAGAATGTAACATGTTGTTTTGTCTGATACATAGCAAGAAATTTTCTAGTTCTCGTAAGTAATCCTGAATTGTCCTGTGACTGAGGGTTATTTCCGGAGAGGTTAAGCTAGGAGAGGCTGGCCTCCATGGGTGTGACCTTCAGTGGGTGAGAGTCTCACATAGTGACATTGCTTAGCTCACTGTGGCTCCTTCCAGCTATTCTGAAGTAGTCTGGGTGCTAGAATCATCATTGTGACACCAAAACTCACCATGTGTTATGGGTGTTTAAGTCAGTTCCTAATCAAGGAAAAGTGAGATTTATTTCTCAATGAGGCCTCAGACACGTAATCCTTCTCAATCAAGTCGTGGACTCTTCAGGATGAGCTGAATCAAATACTAGATGTGTTTGTGGTAATTATTGAGGTAAAATAAATATTTATATAAAATACATGTTAATTACCTCTTGTTAATTTGTTAAGTGAAAAAAGTAATTTTGCTTACATTTTTTAAAGATTTATTTATGTAATTCTATTTGTCATTATTATTATTATTATTATTATTATTATTTTAAATTTTGACCAGATAGAGATAGAGAGAAAGGGAAAGTGAGAAAGCAAGTCACCAGGTCCAGGACTTGAACTGTGGTTGGCCATGTGGGAATCCAGTGCCTTTATCCACCACACCACCTGCCAGCCTCCCCCCCTATTTTTAAAGGATTATTTGCTTACATTGTTTTCATCTATTAGCAAAAATTAAATAATTTTTATATTAAAGTTTAAGCGTGGTGTCTGCTTTGTGTTTTGGCAGCTCCTGAATCCTATGAGGAACTGAAATCTTTATTATCAGGAAGATCGATGGAAGAACAGCTTTTGGTGGTGGAGAGAATTCAGAAGTGCAACCATCCAAGTCTTGCAGTGGGAAATAAAGCAAAATTAGAAGTATGTTGGTATAGGGCCTGGCAGTGGCATGGTGATTTAGGGCGTTAGACTCCCACATGGCCAACCATGGTTAGGGTCCCGGACCTGGCAGCTTGCTTTCTCACCCCCACCCCCCGGGCTCTCTCTGGTAAAATTAAAATAAAGTTAAATAAAATAATTCTTTTAAAAAGTATGTTAGTTTAAACATGTTGAGCATGAGGAGTGTTCACACGACCTCCTTGTCTATATGAATGTTGGAATCGCTTAAAGTTGTACGGCAATGAAGTATACTTCGCCCCGACCGCCAGGGCAGTGCCTCGTTGGGCTATCTGTGTGATCGTGGCTGGGTGCCCTTTATTTAGAGCAGTCAGGAGTCAACCTTTGGCATCTGGCCTTTCTTCTAAGCCTTGCAGCAGGCACAGAGGAGGCAGGCACTGTTACCTTCACTTTGCAGGTGAGGAAGCTAAGGCTCATGTGGCCATCCAGTGGCAAAATCAGGCTTTTAGGCAAATAGTTCAGTAGAAACATACCTTTTTTATTTCAGTAAACGGTACATATTTATTGTTAGCAGGGTATAGTGCCAGTTGCCTTCATGATATTGTTTTGTTTTTAAGGCTTTTGCCATAGGGCATGCATACTCACCAATGAGAGACAGAAAAGCAGAGAGAGGGAAAGTGAGAAATCACCCCCAGCGGGGTGGCCATGCCATAGTCCCTTCTTCCCAATCTCCTTTTGGCATTTTGGGCAACCCATGCACACATGCCCGGCACGATTTTCAAGCTTCCAGGTCTAGGACTCCAACTTTGCAGATGGCATGTGGGATTCCAGCACCTTAACCCCCATGCCAACTGCTGGCTCGCCAGTCTTGTTAAAACAAGATAATAGTTACATGTTACCTGCCATTCTGTGGAAGTATGCATCTGGTCCTGAGTGTTCTCTTCTTTCTGCATCTCCTCCTGTGCAGCAGGGTCTAACAGTGTCTCTCTGTACGGATTTTCACATCTGTGGGCCTAAGTCCTAATGCACTACAGGTTCACTCAGGTGTGGGTACATGGAAGCTTCATGCCTATGGTTTTACCCTCAGTACTAGGTACTGAGTTCTGTTTTCCAATTCATGTTCCTGCAGAAACTCTTTGGCTTCCTTTTGGAGTATGTTGGAGATCTGGCTACCAGTGATCCACCAGACCTCAGAGTAATCGATAAGTTGGTTGTGTAAGTAAAATTGATGTTTTGTCTGGGATGTGGGGCTGAGGTGAACAGTTTTTCTCCTCATAAAAATATCTGAGTAACTAAGGTAGAATGGTGATGTGAACACAGCAGAGAGGTGGATTACCTGCAGAACTCGTAGACAGGCTCACAGTGGCAACCACTGCAGCGATCAGCACTGATGCCCCACCTAACACTGGCTGCTTAGTCACTATAATCTGAGATGCAGTTTGATTTTAACCACAAGCTGGCTTTATAACAATTGAATCCCTTCAGGTTAGTTTATAGTATCAAGTGGCTAATTCTTTTTTTCATTCACTAACAAAGTTTCAAACTCTGGGTGAACTGAGAAACATTTGACATGCAGGGCAGATGCTTCCTGCGTCCCAGTGGGGCTGGCTCTGTAGGCATCTGAGAGCCTCTCCTAGGGAAGCGTGTCCCTCTTGTCCTGCACAGGAATGGCTGTGGCAGATTCTGGCCCTAGCGAGACAAACAGCTATGGCTGCTAGAATAAGCTAGGGGAGCAGAGTTCCCGTCAGGAGGCATGTGCTAGCATCTGGGTCAGTGAGAGCCTGCACCTCAAAGTGCCAGTGTGGGGCTGGCTTCCTGCCCTGTCTCGCCCTGTGAGACCAACCTCCTTCTTGGCTTTGCATTCACAAAGCAATTCTGTTACAAAAATGCTTGTCGTGAGAAATAAGTAAGCTAATGTGTAAAGCGCCTTGGATCTGTCAGCTGCCGAGCACGTAAAATGTGCTCCCAGTGGTATTATCATAAATAGAGCTGTTTCAACCACCACTAAACTGTTGTGGACAGATTTTGAGGCGACGGCAAAAAATGATTGTAGATTATTATAAAACACTATCAGGACTAGCAGACGGCATAGTGGTTACATTGTTGGACTCCCACATGGCCAGCCATGGTTCACTTCCTAGACCCAGCAGCTTGAAACTCATTCTGGGCGTGTTTTTGTGCATGTCCAAAATCCCAAGAGGAGAATAGAGAACGGATTACAGTGTGACCATCCCCCTGGTGGGTTATTTCTTGCTTTCTGTCTCTGTCTCTCCAGCGAGGGCACATGCCCTATAGCAAAAATCTCTTTAAAAAAAAAAAAAAAAAAAACTTATTAAAATGATTGGATCAACAGGGAGGCCAGCCAGATAGCAGTAAGAAGAAAAGTGGAGATAACCAGGGGTTAACTTGCTCAGTCAGCAGGTAACTTCCCAGAAAAATGGTTTTGGTTTTTGTTTGTTTGTTTTGTTTTTTTTCTGTCCGTGATTTTATTATCTGTTATTATCCTCTCCTGACTTACTTTTCTGCATAACAGGCAGTTGTATAATCTTTGCCAGATGTTTCCTGAATCTGCAAGTGACTCCGTAAAGTTTGTCCTCCGAGATGCCATGCATGAAATGGAAGAAATGATTGAGACCAAAGGCCGGGCAGCGTTCCCAGGCTTAGACTTGGTAAGCTGAGGCAGGCTTAATTGAATCGTTGCCTTACAGCCACTAGAAATCAAGGTCTGTTTGGCACCATCCAGGAGAGACGGGCTGGTGATGAATATAATGTTTTGAGAGGGTGCAGTGCCCTGACGCTTCGTAAGTGACCTGGGAAGAGAACCTTAAGTCCTGGGAGAGGGTGGTTCACCCATGAGGGATGGAAGTATGTAATAAAATGATTCTAATTGATTCCACATGACCACAGCTGTATTTAGTGTAAATGACAGAGACTTTTAAAGTAAGTAGAGCTATTGTGCTTTCATAAAGAATCAAGCCTGTGGCTGGTTTCACTAACAACACTGGGACACTGAACTACTCATTTTTTTTTTTTTTTTTAGAAAGAGAGATTTTTGTTATAGTGTGCATGTACTTGCTGGAGAGACAGACAGAAAGCAAGAAATCACACACCACCACCACCCCGGGGAATGGCCACATTGCAGTCCCTTCTCTATTCTCCTCTTGGGATCTTGAGCACACATGCATATGTGCCTGGCATGAGTTTCAAGCTGCCGCATCCAGGACTCAAACTGCTGTCGACTATGTGGGAGTCTGGTGACGTAACCATTATGCCATCTGCTGGTCCCTCGCAGATTCTTTTTTTCAAGGTTTTAAAACTTCTTATTCTCAAGGTCAACCAGCGCCATGATGGTTAAGGTGCTGGATTCCCACGTAGCCATCCATGGTTTGAGTTCTGGACCTGATAGCTTGAAAATCACACTTGGACCATGTGCATGTGCTCCCAAAATCCCAAGAGAAAAATGGAGGAGAAGGGATTGCGGTGTCATTCCCCATGGATCATGATTTCTTACTTTCATTCTCTCTCTCTCTTTCTCTGGTGAGCAGATGCATCCTATGGCGAAACCTAAAAAGCAAACAAACAAAACTATTTGCATATTTTAAAAAACATGTAGTCCAATAATTAAAATAATTTGAACCAAAAAAGGGCACTCTAATTACACTGCATTTTGTAGCCTATAGGACACCTTGGATCAGCTTGTTTTGTTTGTTTGTTTTGCTATAGGGCACGTGTGCTCGCCAGAAAGACAGACAGAGACAGAGAGATAGAAAGTGAGAAATCACCCCCCCAAGGGGGATGGCCACGCCACAATCCCTTCTCCATTCTCCTCTCAGGATCTTGGACACATGCACGCACGTGCCCAGCATGAGTTTAAGCCACCGGGTTTGGGACTCGAGCCGTGGTCGGCTACATGGGAATTCAGTGACATAGCCATTATGCTGGTCCCCATGATCAGCTTGGTTTTTATTCTACATTTCCCTGTCCTCCCACCCAGCTTCTTCCTTCACCAACATTCAAGTTATTTTTCTTCTCTGCCAGCCAGATGGGCAAATGGGAGGGGCAGGCACGCCTTCATTGTTAGTGGTTCTCGATTCCTTGATGTGAAGGGAGCAGCAGGCATTTAAACTTGATCCAGCCTCTTATCATCTTACAAAGTTAAACAGCTAAAAGAAGTCAAGTAAGAAGGCAGTGCTCGTGGAAGGCAGTGCACATCGGGGTTGCATGCCTCAGGTGGATTCACCTGCTTACTTCGACTGTTTCTTTGGGAGGCAGTGAGTTTTTCTCCTGTGTTTCTGACTTCTTTCGTTTCAGCTTACTGAGCTTGATCTCAGCCATTCGGGTTTGTCAGACATGGTCGTGGAGGTAGCAGAGTGAGAGGTGTGCTAGAGAGTGACATCTGGTTTACGTACTGGCCAATATTGAGTGTTACTTTGAGATTTTTAACAGCCTATGTAGATTATGCTATATTTTCAACTGCACCAACTTTCAAGAAATACTTGCTTGGAAGTGCTGTCTATTCCATTTTCTAGTGCTTGTGTTGAAATAGATTGACAGTAGAGCCAGCCTGTGGTGAAAGGGTTAAGGTGGTTGGGTCCCATGTAGCCAGTTGCATTGTTTGAGTCCTGAACTTAGAAACATCAGGCATGTGTGAGTGTGTGCCCAAATCCGAAGGTCAGAATGGAGCAGAGGGCACTGCAGCATGGCCAGCCCTCTCAGGTGTGCTTTCTTACCCAGCCCACTCCGTCTCTCAGCGTGCACACACACCCTATAGCAAATAGAAGAACAGAAGAAAAGAAATAGATGAACAGTAATTAGCAGATTCAAATACAGGATTTCTGTTACTGGTTTTACTAGACACCCCCAAAACAGGATCTGAGCCAGAATACATGAACTTTGCTGACGACTTTGATTAGTTCAGTGACCCTCAGCCCAGCAGCTGCATTACACATGACCTGTTTGATTCCCACGTAGCCATCCATGGTTTGAGTTCTGGACCTGATAGCTTGAAAATCACACTTGGACCATGTGCATGTGCTCCCAAAATCCCAAGAGAAAAATGGAGGAGAAGGGATTGTGGTGTCATTCCCCATGGATCATGATTTCTTACTTTCATTCTCTCTCTCTCTTTCTCTGGTGAGCAGATGCATCCTATGGCGAAACCTAAAAAGCAAACAAACAAAACTATTTGCATATTTTAAAAAACATGTAGTCCAATAATTAAAATAATTTGAACCAAAAAAGGGCACTCTAATTACACTGCATTTTGTAGCCTATAGGACACCTTGGATCAGCTTGTTTTGTTTGTTTGTTTTGCTATAGGGCACGTGTGCTCGCCAGAAAGACAGACAGAGACAGAGAGATAGAAAGTGAGAAATCACCCCCCCAAGGGGGATGGCCACGCCACAATCCCTTCTCCATTCTCCTCTCAGGATCGTGGACACATGCACGCACGTGCCCAGCATGAGTTTAAGCCACCGGGTTTGGGACTCGCACCGTGGTCGGCTACATGGGAATTCAGTGACATAGCCATTATGCTGGTCCCCATGATCAGCTTGGTTTTTATTCTACATTTCCCTGTCCTCCCACCCAGCTTCTTCCTTCACCAACATTCAAGTTATTTTTCTTCTCTGCCAGCCAGATGGGCAAATGGGAGGGGCAGGCACGCCTTCATTGTTAGTGGTTCTCGATTCCTTGATGTGAAGGGAGCAGCAGGCATTTAAACTTGATCCAGCCTCTTATCATCTTACAAAGTTAAACAGCTAAAAGAAGTCAAGTAAGAAGGCAGTGCTCGTGGAAGGCAGTGCACATCGGGGTTGCATGCCTCAGGTGGATTCACCTGCTTACTTCGACTGTTTCTTTGGGAGGCAGTGAGTTTTTCTCCTGTGTTTCTGACTTCTTTCGTTTCAGCTTACTGAGCTTGATCTCAGCCATTCGGGTTTGTCAGACATGGTCGTGGAGGTAGCAGAGTGAGAGGTGTGCTAGAGAGTGACATCTGGTTTACGTACTGGCCAATATTGAGTGTTACTTTGAGATTTTTAACAGCCTATGTAGATTATGCTATATTTTCAACTGCACCAACTTTCAAGAAATACTTGCTTGGAAGTGCTGTCTATTCCATTTTCTAGTGCTTGTGTTGAAATAGATTGACAGTAGAGCCAGCCTGTGGTGAAAGGGTTAAGGTGGTTGGGTCCCATGTAGCCAGTTGCATTGTTTGAGTCCTGAACTTAGAAACATCAGGCATGTGTGAGTGTGTGCCCAAATCCGAAGGTCAGAATGGAGCAGAGGGCACTGCAGCATGGCCAGCCCTCTCAGGTGTGCTTTCTTACCCAGCCCACTCCGTCTCTCAGCGTGCACACACACCCTATAGCAAATAGAAGAACAGAAGAAAAGAAATAGATGAACAGTAATTAGCAGATTCAAATACAGGATTTCTGTTACTGGTTTTACTAGACACCCCCAAAACAGGATCTGAGCCAGAATACATGAACTTTGCTGACGACTTTGATTAGTTCAGTGACCCTCAGCCCAGCAGCTGCATTACACATGACCTGTTTAATCAGCGACCACTGGGTGTCTGTTAGGTGTCAAGTGCTGTTGAAGACACTGAGCCATGGGCCCAGGAGACCTTCTCAGTCTCCTTTGAGCCTGTTTTTTGCTAAGGAGTGTGAGTGGGAAGAGGGTATGGTGAAGGATGTAGTCAGGCTGCCTGAGCTTAAATCCCAGGTCCTGATTTCTTTCTTCTTCTTCTTTTTTTTTTTTTTTTTTGGAGAGATTTTCGTTATAGGCGTGTGTGCTCGCCAGACAGACAGACAGGGCAGAGAGACAGAAAGCGAGAAATCCCCCCCCCGGGGGGGGGATGGTCACACCACAATCCCTTCTCCTCTTGGGATCTTGGGCATGTACGCACACGCGCCCGGTGTGAGTTTTAAGCCACCAGGTCCGGGACGCGAACCGCGGTCGACTACGTGGGAGTCCAGCAACATAGCCATTACGCTAACTGCTGGTTCCCCCCTTTCTTCTTTTTTTTTAAGAGATATTTTTTTGTTATAGGGTGTGTGCACTTGCCAGAGAGACAGAGAGCAAGAAATCACTCCCTGGGGAGATGGCCTCACCATAAATTTCATGTCATGTATCAAAGGAGGTATAATGAAACTGGAAATATCAGAGACTATAGAAACTGAGGCTGGGGACAACATCTCTGAAGGTAGTTCAGGAAGGGGCTTGGAGAGGAGGGGTCACAGCCGTCAGTAAATGGTAGCCATCCTTACCATGACCATTTTGTCGCTCATGCTTGGTTCTGTTGCTGCTGAGGTGAGGACTAATAGGTGTGGCCCAAGGTGGGGCATGGAACTAGCAAGGGCTCCCTTCTAGCCCTGCCATCCGGGCTGCCTCATACTCCTTAGAGCCCCTGGTTGAGGGGTTCAGGGGCTCTTTAGAAGGCTTGGCTAGTAGTTCTGTGGCGATACTACAGTCTCTGCCAGGACCAGGGTTTGTGTCTGGCATTTCTGAGTTCGTTATGGAGCAGAGAGATAAGTTCCCAGTGCTTTGGAAGATTTCTCAGTGCCTCTGGACAGGACAGAGGTTTCCTGAGATCCTACAAAGCCTCGCTGTTCTAATCAACTACCCTTTTTGGTACCTCATGTCAGTACAGTCTGTGGCTCTACCTGGTCCATGGTAGGTCTCCCAAGAGCCAGATCTTGCCATCATCGTTGCTTTAGAATAGCTGTGTATTGGGACCAGCAGTTAGTGTAATGGCTATGTCGCTGGGCTCCCATGTAGTCGACCGTGGTTGGAGTCTCGGATCTGGTAGCTTAAACTCAAACCAGGCGTGTGTGCGTGCGTGCCCAAGATCCCAAGAGGAGGATGGGGGAGGAGGGATTGCAGCATGGCCATCCCCCCTGGGGGATGATTTCTCGCTTTCTGTCTCTATCTCTCTGACAAGCACATGCGCCCTGTAGCAAAAAACCTCTCAAAAAAAAAAAAAAATAGCTGTGTATCTATATTCGATGTGATTGTGGGAAAACTTCAAGGTAGCTTGTGTTACTGAAATGGCACTTTCTACCCACTTCCTCAAGGACGTGGCCTTATGGGCCTCTGCTCTCATTTTTTTTTTTACTAAATTATTTTATTTAACTTTATTTGTTATTATTATTTTTAAATTTGATTACAGAGAGAGAGAGAGAGAGAAGGCAAGAAATCAAGACACCAGGTCCAGGTCTTAAACCATGGTTGGCCATGTGGGAGTTCAGCACCTTTAACCACCATGCCACCTGCCGGCCCCTCTGCTCATTTTTACAGTAACAGAATGGGGTGTGTTGAAGTTGCCTGAACCAGACCTGGACCCAGTGGCTTGAAACTTAGGCCAGGCACGTATACATGTGTACCTGCCTAAAATCCTGAAGAGAACAGAGGAGAAGGGTCTGTGGTGGGGCCACCCCCCTTCCCCCCGCGGGGGATGATTTCTCACTTTGTCTCTCTGGCAGGTACACATGGTCTATACCAAAAATCTCTCTTTTAAAAAAATGACTAATTTCTGGGACCTGCAGTTAGCATAATGGCTATGTCGCTGGACTCCCATGTAGTTGACTGCAGTTTGAGTCCCGGACCCAGTGACTTAAACTCATACCAGGCGTGTGCGTGCATACCCAAGATCCCAAGAGGAGACTGGAGGAGAAGGGATTGCAGCGTGGCCATGCCCCAGGGGGTGATTTCTCACTTTCTGTCTCTCTGTCTGTCTCTGTCTTTCTGGCGAGCGCACGCGCCTTGTAGCAAAAACCTCTCAAAAGAAAAAAAAATTATTAATTTCTGTGCACAAGCTTTTCATATCTTGCAAATTTTTCTACAAGGGATGTTGATCTTTTTCTTAGAGATTTTGTGTGAGTTCTAGGTAACAGATACTTAGGAGTTGCAAAAAAAACTTATCCTGGTTTGTCTGTTGATTTTGCTTAAAACGGTTTTTGTCACTGTGTATTTTGCAATAAAAACAAAGCAACAAAACCTTATTTGTGGCTAGAAAGGAATCATATTTGCCATTATTAGCAAAAGAAGTTTTTCTTCTTGCTTGGTAAAAAAAATATTCCAGAGACTTCTGTCCATTTCTGATAGTAAGAGCTCCCCCTCTTCTGGCTATACTTAAATCCTCCTAAACTATCAGGGTTTTTTTTGTTTGTTCGTTGGTTTGTTTGGTTTTGGTTTTGGTTTTTTGTTTTTTTTTTGCTATAGGGCACGTACGCTCGCCAGAAAGACAGAGACAGAGAGATAGAAAGCGAGAAATCACCCCCCAAGGAGGATGGCCACACCACAATCCCTTCTCCATTCTCCTCTCGGGATCTTGGGCACACACGCACACACGACTGGCATAACTAAACTATCAGTTTTGAAACCAAGTGCACCCAAGTAAAAAGGCTCATCTGACGCTGTTACCAGCCTGATCCAGCAGCTGACAGACAGTATCAGAAGCTATTGAAAGTAACTCTTTAAAATTTCTATTTACCTGTCTCTTTGATGAGTAAGAGAAACAGTGGGTGAGCAGATGGTGTGAAGGTTAAGGCAGCTGGATCCCACATGGCTGACTGCAGCTCAAGTTCTGGACCCAGCAGCCAGAAAAACACACCAGGCACATGTGTGTGTATGACCAAGAACCCAAGAGAAGAATGGAGAGGGAATTGTGGCATGACCATCCCCTTTAGGGGCGTCCTTTCTCACCCCCTTACTCTCCATCTCTGTCTCTGGCAAGTGCATGCACCCTAGAGCAAACATTTTTTAAAAAATAGAGATAAACAGAGAGACAGGGTCCTGATGCTACAATATAGCCTGAGCCCTAGCCAGCCCTAGGTCATGGGAATGCACATGCCTGGTGTACTCAGGAAGGTCTCTGGATGTGCACCTAGAACCTTCCCATGTGGGTCAACCTCACAGATTGTTGCATTTTACTGCTGTGCCACCATTCAGCCCCCATTTCTGTCTTATTCTTTGTGAAAAGTTCAACGCCATATGGCTAAGACAATTAGTAAGAGATTTATGAGCAATTTTTTTTTTAGACAGATTTTTGCTACAGGACAGATATGTTTGCCAGAGAGACAGAGACAGATAGAGAGAAATCGCCCCCAGGGTGGGGATGGCCATGCCACAATACCGTCTCCTCCAGTCTCTTGGGATTTGGGTCTGGGGCACACATGCACCCAGTGTGTTTTAAGTCACCAGGTCTGGGACTTGAACTGCAGTTGGCCACATGGGAGTCCAGCGCCTTAACCACCATGCCACCTGAGTATTTTTTGAAAGGTCTGGGTGAAAAAGGAAATGTGAGCTGCATATTTTCAGTGCTCACAGCATAGGCTGGTTACACATGACCTCTAACCCTCAAAATGACTGCATGGTATGAGTTGAGTGTACTTAGCAGTCCTGTTACACAGATGAGGAAATAGAGAGCTCAAGTAACTTGCCCAGTACCAGGATTTGATTGTAAAGTAGACTCTGAGCCACCGCGTTGTGCTGCAGATACTGACATTTTTCTTCAGTCCAGAAAGTTTTCTCTGTACCCATCTTACATATATGAATATACTTACCTATATCTATATCCATAGATAGATATCTATAGATATAATCTCCCTAGCTCTAGCTTCTAGCAGAGAAAAAAGTATTGCTTTCTTGCCACACCCAGAGTGGGTTTTCATTATCACGGTAATATCAGGATGTGGCGCAGAGACCAGTTTCGTATTGGGACCAAAGCAAACTATGAAGCACATGCCATTCTTCCCAACACGCTTTAGGAAGTAGAAATAGAAAGGGAGATTTTTTTTTTTTTTTTTTTTTTACCCTCTGAGCTTAAGGGGAAAGTAAGCTTAGAGTAAAAGGCTGAGACTTCTGAGCAGAGGCAGAAAGGACGATGAGTACTCAGTTGGCAGACACCCTCCCTGGCCCCATAAGCCTGAAGCCCCAGGACTGCCGGCCCACAGGATAGGGTAGTCCCATTTCATTTCTAGTTACAAGTCCACCTAAGAATCATCACATATTCCAGAAGAGTCTGCTGTGTGGGGGAGAGAGTGGGAGTTCTCTTGTGTGTCCAGGTAGGTGACAAGGCAGCCCCTGCCCTGGAGAGACAATGACTGCCACGAGGTTACAGTGTGACTCATGGAGTCTGTGGATGCTCCACTGTGTTTCACTAGGAATTGTAAGACTAGTTTTGATGTTGGGCCCCTTTTAAGGGCATTATTTTAAAGTTCGTTACCTTCTTAAATTTTTGTGATAATGTTTCTTTTACAGCTCATTTATTTGAAAATTGCTGGGTTGTTGTTTCCAACCTCAGACTTCTGCCATCCAGTTGTAACTCCTGCTCTGGTGTGCATGAGCCAGCTGCTCACGAAGGTGCGTCCTCTTTTCCATGCACAGGCAGGGTCAGCCCCACCAAAAGGCCAGCAGACCCATGCCTCCTTGGAGCCTCATTGAACCAAAGCATGTCTCTTTAAGGTCCATGGAGCCTGACCGTTGAGGTTGGCGTAAGAGAGCTTATTGCACAGGGCCTGTGACAACCTCCAAGAGAGTCAGAAACTGCCCCAACCCCCCCTCAGAGTTCCCAGCTCAAGCAGTCCCCTGGGAGACTGGGGCCGGGGGGGGGGACAGAATCTAATGGACAACTCAAGGTTATAGAGGGTGTGCCTCCCCCTCCCCAAATAGCCTTCCAAGTTAGTGGTGAAGTATCAAGTCTGGCAGGGGTTTGTTTCTCTTCCCTGTTTAGCTTTCAAACGTTCCAGCATTTCCTTTATTTCCTTTTCCTTTATGGAGCGTGTGGTGGTGCATGCTGGTGTAATCACACTCCACATATGGATAGAACTTCAGTCTACAAAGCTCTGTGTCTTCCCTCCATCGCATATGATCCTCTTAAGACGGCCGTGAGCTGCAGAGCGTCCCTCCACACAGATGAAGGCAGTGTGGTACACAGTTGACCTGGGAAGCCACGCTGTCTGCCTAGTGCTGTGTCCTAGCCGTCATTCCAGAGCAGTAACCAGCCCCTGTGTGTTCCTTTCCAGTGCCCCATCCTGTCCCTGCAAGACGTGGTGAAGGGCCTGTTTGTGTGCTGCTTGTTCCTGGAGTACGTGTCCTTGTCTCAGAGGTTTATACCTGAGCTTATTAATTTTCTTCTTGGGATTCTTTACATAGCAACTCCAAATAAGCAACACCGAGGTGAGTAGATTTGAAGAAGCTTATTTTTTTTCTTTTTTTTTGTCATAGGGCACATGCACTCACCACAGTGAGACAGAAAGGGAAAGTGAGAAATCACCCCCCCAGGGGGGATGGGCCTACCTCAATCCCATCTACATTCTCCTTTCTGGATACTGAGCATGCATACACATGCACCCAGTGTGATTTTAAAACTGCCATAGTCAGCCATGTGGAAATCCAGCACCTTAACCACCATGCCACCTGCTGCCCTCTGAGGGAGCTTTTTTCAAATATATTATACTTCAGAATTTTAAAAAAATATTCGTATTTTGGGAACCAGCAGTTAGCGTAAAGGCTATGTCGCTGGACTCCCACGTAGTTGACCACGGTTCGCGTCCCGGACCCGGTGGCTTAAAACTCATGCCAGGTGCGTGTGCGTGCATGCCCAAGATCCTGAGAGGAGAATGGAGGAGAAGGGATTGTGGCATGACCATCCCCCGTGGGGGGTGATTTCTCGCTTTCTGTCTCTATGTCTCTGTCTGTCTGGCGAGCGCACGCACCCTATAGCAAAAATCTCTCCCCCCCAAAAATTCGTATTTTTGTAGAAAATTTAGAATATGGAAAAAGTAGACAAACTCTAAAGTCTTACTATCAAGAGTAACAGTACCTTTTTGTTCTTCTATTAAGTATGCATGCACACCTGCGTTTTCAAGAGGCAGCATTGTTTACCTATGCTTTCCAGGACTGTCACCAAGAGCCACATGGGGCAAGTCTGAACTGAAATGTGCCCAAGACATGTTCCAAAATATATATCAAAATCTCGGGACCAGCAGTTGGTGTAATGGCTATGTCACTGGACTCCCATGTAGTCGCCTGCAGTTTGAGTCCCGGACCCAGTGGCTTAAACTCATGCCGGGCGCATGTGTGTGCATGCCCAAGACCCCGAGAGGAGAATGAAGGAGAAGGGATTGTGATGTGGCCATCTCCCCGGGGGGGGATTTCTTGCTTTCTCTCTGGCGAGCACACACACCTTATAGCAAAAATCTCTGTCTCAAAAAAAAAGTTTTTTCTGAAGAGGTACCTAGCTAGAGATATCTCTAGCTCAGGACTCTAATTCTGCCAACTGTCTTTTGGTTTTCTCCTTATGGCATGACTTCCCTGACTGTGATTCCCGAGACACTGCCAGCTGCTGTGTGTCTGGCTGTGTTAGGCACCAGAGAGGCCTAGTCCAGCGTGATCTCTGCCTCAGGGAGAGCCCTCAGGAGAGCATCACAGCCTAGTGCATGAGGTGCTGCAGTAGAAAGCTGGGTACTGGGATGGAGCACAGGAGGAAAGGGGAGCGCTCACCTTGGTTTAGTGGTGGGTGGGGCAGGGCTGGCTGACTGCTCTCTGCTCTTGCTTTGGCCACCTCTGCTCACTGTTCCTGGGCTCCTCCAGCAGGCCATCCCTTCTGCCTCAGTTGTTCTAGGTGGTGATGACTGGGTTAACCAACTTTTGCACACCCTCTGGGTCTCTGCTGACATCACCCTCAGAGAAGCCACCTCTGCCCTCTGGTGAATCCTGCACCTGCAGTAGTCACCCAGCACTACGCACTGGCCCTTTGTTCTCTGCTTTTCTTCTGTCCATCCAGTTTTGCTTCCCCATGTTGTATCTGATTCATTTGTTCCATGGCTCTTGTCTATTTCCCACACAAGGGCAGGGACTTCGGTCTGTTCTTGGGTGTTCTTGGACCCACAACCATGTGTAGCATGTACCTGCCCATAGGAAGTCTGTTGCTAGCATGTGGGCCTCTGACTGGCCCCCTGCCAAAGCTCTCGCCCACCTCAGCATAGTGTCCCTGCCCATGTTGAAACATTCACTCATGTCTGGTACAACCTAGGAAAATAGTAAAAAAAATCGTTACCTGTTTGTTAAAAGGCAAACTTTCTAAGGCTTGCCACTGCAGAGCCCGCCCTGTGACCTCTGTAATATTTAGGTCATCTCTGTCCTGTCGCACTTGGCATTCAGGTTACACTCTGGTGCACCCTTTCAGAGCGCTTGGGAAGAACTCCGAATTGCTCTTGGTCTCTGACAAGGAGGATATGGCCACGTGGCAGAAGAGAAGCCTCTCCCTGCACTGGGCGAGTGGACTGAAAGTCCAGACCACAACTGAGGCCAACCACATCAGGTATGTGTGGAGAACCCGGGACCCAAGGCCTGTGCCTGAGCTTGCATCAGCAGGCATTGCACACTGTCCCAAAAGGCTAAAGAAACAACTACTGCTGATTGACCGCCAGGAATTCCCTTGTTTTCAGCTCATTCATACATATGACCACTTGCTTTAAGGATGTGTTAAAAGCCTTACTGAGGCATGTTGGTAGGACAGCAGCTTTCTCCCCATGGGGGAAATAAACTTTCCTAAAATGTGATTTTCCAAGCGTATCTGCCTGATTTCGTAAATAGTAATTTGGAGCTACTGTTTTCAAGTCATTACTGCATTTGCCATAACCTTCCTCACGCAAGTTTGGGAAAACATGACGACGTTTTTCCTTAAGGTCCAATATGGTGAGCTGTCAGTGGCTACCCATAGACAGAAATAGCACGATCTGCTGAGGTGGCCCACACTGGAGCTATATGTGGGAGATTGTCGTTTTTGCCAGGGCTGTTGGTTTTGTCAATAACTGAGCGAGAATGAACTCCTCTCTTCCTTGCTGCTTGCCCTCACAGACTGTCCTGTCTCGCTGTGTGTCTGGCTCTGCTGAAGCACTGCGTGCTCATGTATAGCACACTGCCATCCTTCCATGCCATCACCAGGCCCCTCCGGGCCCTCCTGACAGAGAACCCAGTGGACTGCAGCCAACCCCGTGACCTCCAGGTGAGGCTTCCTGGCCACTACAGTGCTCTGCCCTGGGCTTGGATGTGTCCATGGGCTAGAACCAAGGTGGTGGGTGTTTTTGCCACTGAGCTTTAAACATTGTGGACACCATCTTTAAAAAGTCATAAACACAAAAGGGAAATAAAATGACCAGAGCAAGTCTGACTGAGACCTGAACTGGACTGTTGCATGCTGTCTCCAGGCGGCTGCATAAGCCCAGTGGAGGCACCGCTCTGTACTGCTGACTTGAAGCCAGCTGCACAGTCCATGGAGGAGTTTGACTGGCCAGGCCCTCACATTCTCAGCTTTTTGCATGTTTTCCAGGAGCTATATCAAAGCGTACTGACAGAGATAGAAAACCAAAAGCAGCTCTATTGGCCACTGGTCTGTGAGAAGAGCAAGCCAGTCCCACTGAAGTTGTTCACCCCACGACTGGTCAAAGTGTGAGTGTCATTGCTTCCCCAGGGAGACTGGGGCCACACAAGAGCAGAGGGTGTTCGGCCAGCATTGCTGAAGTGACCCGGAGCAGCAGTTGCAGTCACCAACAGACTGACTGAGTGGTGGGACAGACCTGATTCTTGCCATCTTAAAACTGGCTTTCTAATTTTAGCCTCGAGTTTGGAAAAAAGCAAGGCAGCACTAAGGAGGAGCAAGAAAGGAAGAGGCTGATCCACAAACACAAGCGTGAATTTAAAGGCGCCGTCCGAGAAATCCGCAAGGATAATCAGTTCCTGGCTAGGATGCAGCTCTCAGAGATCATGGAACGGTGAGAGGGACATGTGTTGGCCCTGGGAAAAGCATCTGGTCAAGTTGGTACTGGCCCTGGTCAGATTTCCAGCATCCCCAGCATCACAGTGGCTGAGGGCTGGGGCAGGGCAGGCTTGTTTCCCCCATTTTTCCTCCATTTGGATTGGACATAGTAGTTGTAGGCTGATGTTCTGATATGAAAAGGGGCAAGATACCGTTCAAGAGCTAATCAGAAGATGGTCATTTGCTTCTTTTTTTTTTTTCTTTTAGGGATGCTGAAAGAAAGCGAAAAGTGAAGCAGCTTTTTAACAGCCTGGCTACGCAGGAAGGTGAATGGAAGGCTCTGAAGAGGAAAAAGTTCAAAAAATAAATTTTGTATATTAGACAAGGAGGTATTTTATACTGAAAGTAATAAAGGATGCTGTCATGTTCATATGTTTTTTTTTACTGTGCTTTTGTTCTTCTTGATACATCTCTTCTGGTGACATAGAATGAATTCTGAAGTGCTCCGAAATGGAATTAAGAACAATCCTCCTTGAGAGCTTTTTGCTAATAAACTGTTGGGTTGTCAGAAAAATCATGATGCATTTTCACATAGAAAAAATACATGATGACTTTTCTGACAGCCCCATATTAATAATGGTTCTTCATGTTCAGACAAGTGACCAGCTGGGGATCTTTTTTTTTTTTTAAAGAACTATTTTATTTATTATTATTCTTATTTTCCAGTTTGATCTGAGAGAGAGGGAAAATGAGAAAGCAAGCCACCAGACCCGGGACTTGAATTGTGGTCAGCCATATGGGAGTCTAGCACCTTTAACCACACCACCTGCCAGTCCCACCAGTTTTGGATCTTAAAAGATTCTGGCTGATGTCATTAGCCAGATGTCTGCAGTCACCAACAGACTGAGTGCTGGGACAGACCTGATTCTTGCCATCCTAACACTGGCTTTCCGATTTTAGCCTCGAGTTTGAAAAAAGGCAAGGCAGCAGTAAGGAGGAGCAAGAAAGGAAGAGGTTGATCCACAAACACAAGCGTGAATTTAAAGGCGCCATTATGTATAGAATCTGCCTTTATGTGTAGAATTCAGAGTGTTATTTATGTAAAAAAATATTTTCAATTATAAATTAAACTTTTTCTGTTTTGCTACAGGGCATGTGCACTTGCCAGAAAGAGGGAGAGAGGGAAAGTGAAAAGTCAGCCCCCCAAGAGGGATGGCCACACTACAGTCCCATCTCCATTCTCCCTTCGGGATTTTAGGAATGCACACACACATGCCCAGGGTGTTTTTCAAGCTGCCAAGTTCAGGTCTTGAACCACATGGTTGTACATGCAGGTTCCAGCCGCCTTAAGCATCACGTCACAGGCTGGCCCCTAGATGAAAGAATTTTGTAAGTAGTTTTGAAGTCAGAAAAAGAAAAAAAGTCACTCATAATTCTCCCCCCCCCCCTTTTTTTTTTTTAAGATTTTTGCTATAGGGCACATGTGCACACTGGAGAGACAGTAAGAAATCACCCCATCCCCCTGCCCTGAGTATAGCCACACCGCAATCCCCTATCCTCCATTATCCTCTGTATACATATGGGCCCAGTGTGAGTTTCAAGCCACTGGATCCAGGACTCAAACCATGGTTGACCATGTGGGAGTCCAGCACCTTAATCATTACACCACTTGCTGGCTCCAATCTCCCCATCTTAACAGCCATAGTTGGCCTTGTCCTAATTTGATCTTTCCATTGGGTTTTGGGGGTTGGGGTCATCTAAAATACTGCACTGTGAAAGGTGGGAGGGAAGAATTGGGCCCCATGCCCTGCAGTCTTTGAGGTCAGAATAAGTTGGAAGACGTAGAGCCCTATGGTTAAGGCCGTAACCTTGTAAGTTAAACAGCAAAGTGTTGCCTATCACCTGTACTTAACTAGGAGGGCGGTCAGCACTCAGGTTTACTGGACCCAGAAAGAGCTGTGAGCTGTAGGAAGTGAAGTTCCCCTGGAAGGGCACTTCACAGATTGGCCCAGGGGCAGCTGCCTTGAACAACCATACCCTGAGTGTTGCTGCCAGGTCTCTGAAGAGATGAACTTTGTTGGGACCTGCCATCTGTCTCCCTGAGGAGGTGCTGAATAGAAGGTCCCCCAGTCTCATTCCCCAAATGACTATAGGGCCCCTGCCTGGCTCTGTATCAGAATGGAATGCTGAGCCCCTGGTCCTCAGAGGCAGCAGTCAGGGGAAGATCAACATCGGCCAAGTTTGTGTCACACAAACGCCTGGTCACACTGACCAGCCCTGTTAAGGCAGCTCTAACACATGGAGAAGCCCATGCCTGAGTTCACACCTCCAGCCACCACAGTGACCATGAGATGTATTTATTAGAGTGGGAATGGGGAAGCAAGAGTGAAAAGGAAGAAAGTGACAAAGATCCGTTTCCAGCTTCTTTAATGAGTAAGGGATCTTTCATCAAGAAGAGATTGATGGGGAGAAACAGGAATTTGACTTTTGACATGTGAGGTTATTGAGGCAATAGTTGAAGTGCAGAATGGGTGGTCAGAGGAGACATCCAAGAGTCATGTCAAGGCCACAGCTGGACTAGTAGGTTTGAAGATCAGAGTGAGAACTGGGACTGTACCCACCTGTAGGTCTGTCAGGCTCAAGCTCAGACTGTCAAGGATAGCCTTGGGTCTGCAAAATGAAGGGAATGAGGCCCAGGTCGGTTAGATCATGTACACTCAACAAGCCCTGCCAAGACCTATCAGAGTCATATTCACCAGATGCATAACTCCACAAATCTAGAAAGACCTGGAGGTTGTTACCTCATCATTGCACAGGGCTGGGCTGCTGCTGACATATAGCCTCAAGACTTTATGTAAAAAATTATTTTCAATTATAAATGAAACTTTTTTTATTGCTATAGGGCAGAATACCTATAAACTCTGTCAGTTATTGCTTCAGCTTGCCAAGGCCCTGCACTCTGGACCCTCACACAACTCTCCAGGAAACAGGAGAGAGGATCAGACAGGAAGCAAGTGGGACTGAGTCAGATGACTAAGTGGATGTGGCCTTGCCAATCAATGTGAGGGTCCTATAGTCACCTGGGGGATGAGATGGGGGGACCTTCTATTCAGCACCACCTCAGGGAGACAGATGGCAGGTCCCAACAAAGTTCATCTCTTCAGAGACTTGGCAGCAACACTCGGGGTGTGGTTGTTCAAGGCAACTGCCCCTGGGCCAATCTGTGAAGTGCCCTTCCAGGGGAACTTCACTTGCCAATGGGGACAGAATGTGAAGCAGCGAGTTCACACTTAAGACTCCAGCTCTGGGTAATGTGCCATTGAGGGGGAATCCCGATCCAGCTGGAAAAGAATGACTCACACAAGCATGGAAACGGGGACACACGTCCTCTTTGGGGAAAGAAGTAACATGTGCTGTCTTTTGGCTATACATGGAATAATGGCATCCATTAGGCCAAAGTGGGACTTTGCCCTTACCTTTATATGAAGTGCAGTATGGTTTAAAGAGGATGCATGACTGCCAAGATGACCGTGGAGAGTGGTGCTTTTTCATATGTCAACTTGGAAACAGCTTCATTTCCCAGAATTCCCTCCCTGTATGTTTCGGATTCTCTATTGACTAGATTCGCAGGCAATTCGGCCGGTGAGACAGAAGGCCACACACTGGCTCCCAGTTCCCTGACTGTCCTTGCCAGCAGTCGGGCCAAAGCCCTTCCAGGCGCCATGGGTCCATGGAATGGTCCTCCAGCTCTGCACTGGCACCAGTGCTTCCGAAACCAGAGCACCTGCTCCTCCTTTGGATGGTCCAGGCCTGCCCACAGGCTGGGGCTTCAGGCGCAATCCTCACACGGTAGTTGAACACGGACACACGCGTGTAGTTAAACCCACCGAGCTCACGCAGGCTCGAGGCTACAGCTGTATTTCTGGATGATGGCCTGTGCGGAAGGCACCCACACTGGCAAAAGGGAGTGGGCAAGGAGGGTCGAGTCGGGGCCGCCAGAGTGGAGAACCCAAAGTCTCCTGGACCTCGGAGGGGAAGTTCCGCCCCCAGTAGCAGGGGTGGGGGGCACAGTCCATAGCCTGCCTCTCACATTAGCCCTGACCCACGCCCACCACTCCCGGGGCCAGCCCGGAAAAAGGCAGGACCCCGAGCCGCGCTGGGCCTGCGCAGGAGTGCCGGGCCCTAACCGCTGCATAAAGGAGTACCGTTCTCCGCCCAGGCCGGTAGCCGCCACCCTACCGGTCTCCCCAACTCGGCTCTGAGGAGCGCCAGGCTCGCGGAGCAGCACGCCGGGGGCGCCCACGCAGCCAACCGGACCAGGAAGCAGCGAGCGGCCCGTCACTTCCGGGGCGTGCCCTGGGCGTGGCTGGCCCCGCCCCGCTCACGGAGCGCGCCTGGCGGTCCATTCCGCATTGGTTCTTCAGTCTGGGTCTCCACCGAGCTTGCGGCCGCGGCAGGTGCGGGCAGGGCGCGGTCCCGGGGCTGCGCGCGGCATAGGTGAGCGCTCCGCTTCCGGTGCGTCCCGCGACCCAGCAGAGGTTGCCGCACCGGAGTGGATCGGCCAACCGGCTGGACCGGGCGTGGGCTGTG